CTGAAGAAAGATGGAGTCTGGTATATGGGTGACAGATGACTTGGATGCATCATTAACGGTGGTGAATGGTACCCAGTACTGGCACACAGAGATGCTTAACAAGCATGTTTATAGCTCCCTGTCAAGGTTTTTATTCAACACTCGCTGTTTTGAGAAGCAATTCCGTATTTCTCTTGGAGGAGGTCAGGCCAAGAGTTTCCAAGCATATCGGGAACGCTGCTGCTACCGTCCCAGCATGGGATAGACCAGACAGATGGTGGGATTAATGGACAGAGGAAATGGGCTATGGAGGGGAACGTGAAGTGCAAGACAGCGGGAAAATGTATGGATAATAACATGTGAGGAGACCGGGATGTATGGAAAGATGAATACTGTATAAGTGAACTAGGGAGGAATAACTCTTTAAGCACTCAACCGAAATTATTACATTTTTAGATTTATGTAGTGGATAAGCCCAAACTATTAAAAATGTATGGATGATACTGACTTTCAGCATCATTCTTCAGTCTTCAGTCTCAGTTTAGCAAAAGTTAAACCCCTAATTTTGCACTTTATATATAAACTTGCTACACTGTTTAAATAATATGGTGTAATAACAGGTAGTAAAATGATTATTAATTGTAATGATAAATCTTAATTTATAGTGCACTTTTAAAAACAAGGTTTTCAAAGTGCTGTGCATTCAGCAAAGAACAACAATACAAAAAAAAAAGCATAAAAATAGCATACTGGAAGCATTCAAAAAGAGAATGAAGCAATCAAGGGTCAATTAACAGAATAATCACAATAGGTTCAAACGATTCAATTAATTATAATAAATGCATTAATTAATAAATTAAAATAAAAATACATTACATTGTAAAACTTGTAATGTTTTACGATCCCTATTGGCACATAAGGTACATTTATTTTGGAGTCTACACTGTACTGATCAAAGTGTAAAGCAGGAAAACCCATCACTTCAGGATCCCCACATCAAGATAGTATTACAACGTCCTATGACACTTAAGTAGAATCCAGTATGTCCATAAACACAGTTAAAAATTCCTTCTCAACAATAACTGCTGTGTGTCTGGACCCTGCTATGTCAATGGGCCAATGAAATGTTTGTGGACAACCTGTAATGACTGTATTCTCGGTTTTAAAAGGCAGGGGCACATTGTACCCATGTGTCTATGCAGCTCCTTTAAGGAACACTTGCTTCTTGTTTATGGGTGGAATGTTGCCACAATTAATGGGCGCTTATACATTCAGTCAGCTTTCACTAGACAGCTGTGGCGGATGCATATAACTCCTTAAGAAGAAATAAAATGGCTAAAGGTCCTATATTAACCAACATTGACTCTTGTGAGCTTTAAGTCATGTTCGAATGTTGTTTCCTCCTCAAAAACATACCTGGAGTTGTGTTTTGTTCCATTCACACACATTGGAGTGAACAAGCTCAAATGCTCTGCTCCACCTTGTGATGTCACCTTTTATCTTTTATTCGATAGATATTGGAATTTCAAGGGCTGAACATATCCAAATTATTCCAGTCAAGTTGTATGGAGTTTAAAAACATAGCAGAGCACTGTATTACCACATGAAAACACAAGGTGGATTTTTTTCTGTTTAAGAGAAGAACTCAGCCTAAATATATAGGACTCATGTGTTAAACATGTGTGAATGAAACAAACCACTACTCCAGGTACATTTATGATGAATATACAACATTATAATATAGATCAGAAAATAGTGTATTATGGGCCTGTTAATGTAAAATGGTTCAAAGTAGCACACTTAGGCAGAAGACTTTGTCAGACTGCGTTCATCCATCCTCTCGTCTCCAGAGGGCTATTAGGCTTCAAACAAAAGGCCGACTGTTTTCTTCAAGTTTCAACTCAAAAGCAAATCTCAGTGGAAAACAGCAACAAAGCAGAGGACGGGAAAGGGAGTCAGTAAAGAAAACAAAGATGAGATATAGGAGAGTGGGTTTATGCATGGCCTCAATAGTAAATTTTCACCTCAGCTGACCATTGTATCGCTGATGGAGGAAGTTAAGTCCGATAACATGAGTGCTTTGCCATGTCTTACCAGATTTTAAAAGCAGGAAGATACTTTAGACATGTTTTAGAAAAAAATGCTGCTTTTTTTTTTTTTTTTTTTTGAAAGGATTACCAAACTACAGTCCATCGCCCACTGCTGTTCTCTTCAGAGAGTTTTCAATGTGTCTCAACTCGCCAAACCCATTAAGGAACAATAAACATTTAAAAAGAATGAATTAGATCTCGGTAAACAAACATCAATGATTCAAATGCTGTTCTCAACATTTCTTAAATACTAGATGAATAAAAACACCAACATTAATACCAATCAAGAAAAACAAGAATGCACAATAGCCTGCCCTGTCATTGTAATTAAGGGTAGTTTAATACATTGACCTCAATGTATCTTTTCACAGCAAATACCAACTCTCAAAGTACAAGGACTTTCAGGCAGTATTTAGTGACCTCAAATTAGTGTAAATCTGAACAATCCCAGGTGCAAACTAAGGAATAAAGTAATGATTAACCCAGAAAATATTTTACCAAATAAGGAGAAAAGCAGGACCAAAGCCAATATCATAAGCTAATAATAAGCTAAGAAAACATGGATTCAGCTGCTCTTCAAAACATCAAACTGAAACTAAGTGCAGGATTATACTGGAATGGAAGGGATTTTATTAGAGCAGATTTGAAAGCAAACAAGTTATTTTTATTTTATCTCTGGTCATCTCAGTTAGTCCTATATGTATCACAACACTACTGTTAATCTGTACAACTGTTTGAAGAGTTTGACCTCAACCAAACTGAATGAAAGAACGCAAAAGACATGAGTCTGAAACACATTCTAACTGTTAAAATATGAATAGATCAATACATTCTTGTCATAAGATTAAAAGGAGCCAACAGTGTGAAATCAAGGAGAGATGTTGATGTAATTTTATCTAACCTACAGTGTTTAAATAACAAAACTCCCCTGCACCAAACATAATTAACTGAAATCTTTAAGTCACATTTTGAAAAGATTTATAATTTTCTTTATATCAGATTTGTAAGGTTTCCATCATCTTAGTAGTCACGTTATGCAACCACAGCCACCCACTCTCTGTCCCTCCCTCCCTCTCTCTGTCTTTCCCTCTCTCTCACTCTTCCTGTGTGTGTGCTGTTTGGCATGGCAATGGGCCCACATCTGCAGCTCATTTCACCACGACTTCTGTGGAGTTCCCTGGCCAGCACAGTAGCATTAAAGGTAAATCTAGTGGATCAACGCTATGTGTGAATACCTGTCACCCCACAAGACCCTTCATCAATATTTATGCACAAATATGAAATGTTAGGGTCACAATTCTATCAAAGTATTACTAGGGAAGCACAGATTCTAGTAGCAAGTATTGGGCAGAAAAAAATGCCAAATGGGTATCAGCTCAGCCTATAAAGCAGGAGCATCCAAACTATTGCCCGTGGGCCAAATGTGGCCCTTGGACCAGTTTTTATTGGCCCACGAGCCTTCTGCTGAAGTGGCCCAATTGATCATAGACATTCATTTTAACGGCAAATTTACGGAATTCTACCACTATAACCTCAATAACACCACACTGCAGTGTGATACAGATGTTCTAAGACTGTTCTAAGATTTTTATTAAAGGTGTGGTTTCTCATCCATCTGACTAATCCACTGTATTGACCATCTATCTGTGTAAAAAGTTTATGTATTGACCATTTTATGTGGTTACTAAAAGTATAAAAACATTACATAAGTCATTTGGATCTGATTTTTTATACTCAAATTATGTTGAATGTTGTTATGTGAAACTAAATGCTATTTCAGCCTCTGCACTGATACTGATTGATATCAGATATACACAGATACTTAAAGCTGTATTGATATTGATATTAGAACTGAAAAGGTGGATCGGTGCATCTCTAGTCATTACTAGTATGGCATTTCTATTTAAATGTTAAAATATTAAAATGTGCTACTCAGAATAGCTCCTCCAATCTCCTCCAAGTAATACTAAAAAGTAAAAGTTACTTGCTTAAGTTACACATCTGACAGACTTCACATTTCCAGTAATATTTCAACAGTGCACAATGAAAACACTTCACAAACGTTCTGTGGTTTTGTGAAGGTAGAACAGCATGTGATATTGAGCCTCTCTGTTCTGCACATCATTCACACTTGACAGCCATTTCCACATTTTCTTTCCCCCATATCAGACCCTTTCAAATAATAATAAAATCTGCTTTATTCATCGACTACAATCTGAACCCGGGACTCCCACTGGTTTTTCATTTGCCATATAATACAAACTTATGGCAGCAATGGCGTGACTTTTGATAAAGTCCAGGTGTCAAAACTGGAAGTGATGGAATGCAGAGGTGGTGAGAGATGGAGATTATGAAGAGTGAGATTGGGAAGAGAAAGCACAATATACAGTATTGATTAAGATTCTAAAAAGAAAATAAGTTAATTACATTACAACTTGGAGAGCAACTACCCCATGCTGTACAGTTCCCATTCTTCAACACAACATTGTTCTCTATGATAAATGTTCTTTCCATTAAGCTATAAAATCTGTCTCAGAGTTGTAAAAAAAATGTTACTATAGATCTATAAACTGTCATTTCAGTACCATTTGAGACATCATGGCTCCAGTGAAACAAAACTCTTGAAATGATTTTAAAAGCCATACTATCAAGTCATTTTGTCTTTATTTACTACTTACTAATACTTATTACTACTATTATGACTATACTACTACAGCCTACTTCTACTACAACACGAAGAAGTACCACAACAAGGACCCTTTCAGTAACCAACTAACCTAAAAAAAAAAAAACTTTCTGCACTATTAATTTATTTAAAAAATTACAAAAAACATTGTAGTTAATACCCAAAATAATTAACAATTAATTGGTTATTTTAAAACCTCTAAATTTATCATAGTGAAATAACTTCTGATGATAAAGTTTTCATACCCTTGAGCCGTGCTGAACTGTTGCCAAAGGACTGGACTCCACTGGACCACCTGTTGACCTCCTCCCTGACTGCTCTCTGTCAGACTCTGAGTGCCTATGTGAGCAGGGCTGTCCCGGTGCCTATGGGCCATGGGCAGGTCGTCTGGGAGGGTCCCGTCTCCTCCCCCTGCCCCTCTGCACTCTGCAGTGAAACAAGAGGTAAGCCTGTAAATGACACTTTCTCTCACTGGACATAATTACTAATGTGGATTCTGTACTGAGGAAGTGGGTAGGGTATTTCTTTTTGCTTATGTTTTAGCCAAAAAGTACAGTAACAGAACACAATAGCACTTATTAAAATATCAGTGAATTAATGATGTCCTTCAAATCTGCTTTAAAACAAAACAGATGTATCAACCAAGTATAGGTGGGCTGGATTTCATATATACATAAATGTCCTAATATAATTATAGTTCATGAGGTGTTCAATAAAACTAGTCTAAAGTAAACTATAGTGTTAGCAGGCTTTTTTACTAAACTGAAACAGAATATTTTGTTGTTTGCAAAGGACAACATATTCCCTAATTTAGTGCAGAACTTTCATCTTGCAGGCAGCCCTTCACAAAATCCTTCACAGTCACTTTAAAATTTTGTGTTTTCTATTTTTCCACTATTACTGAAAACTGCAAATATGTATGTTTATAGTTTGAGTGTGTACTAAAAGCATGGTTGCAATTCTGGTAAGTGGCAAGAATAGAGTAAGTATCGTGCTTTCCATCATCCTAAAAAATAACATATTTCAGATCTATATTTTTTGTGAGTGTTTTGGATGAGTGGCACTTAAAAGTCTTGATTCAGTTTGCACTCATGCCTCTGAAACACTCTCACTTACTGCTGTCAAAACACACCACTTTGACTCTCAGCAAAACAAGCTGTTCACACTTTCAAACAAATAAACCCCAATAAATGCATGATACTTTACCAGTCTTGTTTTTGAAAATCACTTTGGTTTCTCTTCAGTCAAAATACCCAGTTAACATACCGTAGCATCATCCATCTCTCAGGGTTGAAGTCAGAATGTTAAGGGGTCAAGGTTGGTAGCTAGTTTACGGCTGCTTCTATCTAAATATATAACTATGGTGTCACTTTTCAGTGGGACAGCAGGAGGCAGGATTGTTCAGGTGAAATTCAAGAAGCACCATAGTTTGTGTTTTTGTTTACTCTATAAAAAGAATACTTTTGTTGAACTACTAAATACAAAAATATAAATGCATGTTGGGTGAACGTTTCTCAACCAAGGACACAGTGACATAGGGGAAACCAAGATATGATTTGAAATAATGTTACAGTACTTTAAGTTTAATTAATCCCAACTCAATGCACCTTAGAACAAACAAATTTGTACTAAATCAAAAGCAAATATTTGTTTTGAGATCTTAAGAAGAGAAGAGATAAAATTAGGATCTAATTTCCTCTCTTTATCTCTCTCTGATTGTGACTAGTCTGTATAGTTCTTATAATAAGCTTGATTTCAGTAATATTTGTACCCACTTATTTCCATTATCACAAAGAATTGAATCTGGGGCACATTCAATTACACTATGGCTTATACCTAGAGAAAAGGCACTGGGATAAAGAAGGTTAGGTGATATAAATGTATGAAATTGAAAAGTAATTGGGTCAGTGCTGAATTTTATAATATACAGTTTATGAAATGTCTGCTTTGATGGTATTTATGATTTTAACATGCAGTTCCGTTGCTGTCTGGCTGTTCATTCAATGTATTGACAGAAATGTTGTGATATGATTAAAATCAGCAAATACTATATGTCCTTGATCAAATATCTCTCCATTATTGAACCATGAACACCTCCAATGAAAGTTGTAAGTCTGAGTATTGCAGATATATTGATAAAGTGCCTCTTTACAGCACAGTGAGAATATGTAAGCCATGTTCTTAGACCTCATGTATTTAGGCCCGTCATGATAACAAATTCTGAAGAACGATACAGAGATCTACTGCGATAAACAATGATACTGAAACTACTTTATGCCACTGACACAATAACAATCATGCAACATTATTCCAGTAATCTATTATTTAAAAAGACAGAATCATTAAAATAAATAACAGAATGAACCAATAATTAGCCACAGAAGTTGGTTATTCTATCCACTATAGCTCAAATCTTGTAATATTACAACAAAAAATACCCCAAATCTCTTCACTTTCACAAAGAAATTGCACACACGATAAATATTGAGTCCAAAATTATAGAGTTCCAGTTTTCCTGTATAGAATGATGGGCAGTATAGCAATTATCGTGACAGGCCTATACATCTATTGCTTCTTTGCCATTGTCATTGTCTCTTTGTTTAAGCCCCACAATAACAGAGCCAAAATAGAGCAGCCTGGACAATTCACAGGGGGTACAATTTTATAAAGTCTCATAGAAATAATATTCATGACTGTTCTTTGACATAGGACTTAGGGAACGTGATCTTAAAATATAGTTTATGCTATTCTTAAGTCTCCAGTGGATAACAGCTTTAGTCAGAAACCCGGTGGGATTATTGTCTTTTATGGATAATAACTGGAGAATCATGGCTTGTGTGGTGTGAATTTTGTTCATATTGTTTTAAATGTGAAACTGACACAGGCCTCACAGGAGTTGTCTGAGCCAAAATGGTAGACTAGTGTAATTTGTTGCCTGATGGATGAATAATTTCCCATCATACTACAATGACAACACAAAAGACACACAAAAACATTATGAGCTACAGCAAATGTAACAAATGGTACAAAGAAACTCAACCAAACTGCCCTATTTCAAGTCTACACTTCACACTGTGGAGATGTACATATTTGTTAGGAATCTCGCCAGCAACACCAAAAACTGACTGACTTGCCCCTATGGTACTAAAGATTTCTCTTTTACTGCATGCTAAAGCAAAGAAAAAAACGAATTTATTGTACTCTTTCTCAACTTGAGTTACAACTCTTTCTTATTATCTTATTTCTACATGCAGCCAAGATAAATACTCCACCTCCCAAGGCCTATATATTTCTAGTTAAAACAACCATGAAATTTCAGCAAAGTGTGCTACTAGAAAGAATTTTGGCAGATTTCTTTCATATCTTACATTTAAACACATGATGATAAGGCCATAGCCAAAAACAGGCCACTTCTACTGCATCTGTGACTGTTAATTTAACCAATAAGTGATTTCATTGAGCTGCCTTTACTATCAATATCACACTCTACATTGCTACTGCTATGTCTACTCATTGGTGGAAGAAGTACTCAAATTTGTACAGATATGGGAGCAAAAAAAATCTTGGCTGCAAGTAAAAGTATCACCTGAAAAATCGATTAAAGTAAGAGTATTAAAGTACCAGTTTTAAAATGTACGTTAGAGAGTAAAACATAAATCACACAAATTTTGAGATCTAATAAAGCTTCAAGTGTACAGATTTTGATAAAGAATTGTGCTGATAGAAACAACTGAGGAGTTTTTATTTGTATATTTTTGTTTGGTCCAATAATGAACTTGATAAAAAGCATAACCCTTCAGCCTTTTTAGTAGGTCTCTTACTTTTCAATCAAAAAAAGAAAAATTAAAGATATCTTCTCTCAAATGTAGTGAAGAAAAAGTTAAAGGGATCCACTATATAATCTACTTAAGTAAAGTACAGTATTTTACTACTTACTTTGTTACATTCCACCACTGTATCTGCTACTTTTTACTGTTACTGGAACCTATCACTATAATACTGTTGCCTTCCCTGCTACTAAAACTTCTTCTTGGCATGTTGAAGTAGAAATGTTACACGTTATTATGGATTCATTCATTACTTTATACCCTGACTATATGCAGGAGCTACATTACGTCAATTAAGCTTAACTCTGAGCTGGAGTGTGTTGAAACATATGGTATACTTAATCTTTACAAAGTGGCTTTAGGGGGCAGGCCAAACTTCACTGATTGCCGTTTCCTTGTAAATCTGGGAACTGTTGATTTTAAAAGCTGATGTGACGTGAACAGGAGCTACACAGTCTGGTGTGGAATGAGAAGTGACAGGCCTATCCAAACAGCGCTTGTGAATTCAGCCTAGGAAATCAGTTTAAGGCATGTGTTGTCTGCAGGTCATTAGGTTACATCATTATAGCTTCTATCTTAGGTTAGTGGCATAATGTTTACAAAACTAGCAAAATCTGATTAGACAACGCTTCTGTGCTGCATTTTGCATCATACTAAAAATGTCTGGTAGGTTGTTTTGTTTGGTCTTTCTCCCATGTGTGACTTTGGTGGATGCTGAATCAGATTAGAGGGACACAGTGCAGATAAAGTCTAACTCGTTTAAGGAAAAATAAACTAATGCCATATGGAAGTTTGATGGTACAAGACACTTTCAAGGTCCTGTGTGTCTTTGATGCCTTTGCCACATTATACACACAGCAGTTCTCTTGTGGGCGGTGGGGAGTTAAAGCTGTCTCTTGTCCCTGGAGCTCACCGCAATTAGACTTTATGTCTTGTTAACCACATGGTCACAAACTGTATGCCCTATAAGAAGAATATACTTAAAGGAAGATGACCTTGTGATTAAGAAACTGTTCTTATTTTAACCAGGTAGTTGTTTGAGTCACTTAGCTCTTAAAGGGCCTATATTAGTCTACTTTCTGATCAATGTCATAATGTTGTTTCATCACTAGAAACAAACTTGGAGTTGTGTTTTGTTTAACACACAAATTCTGCATATTTTGGCTGAGTTCTTCTCTCATACAGAAAATCTGTTCCACCTTGAGATGTCATATTGCAATACAGAAAGTGCTCCACGGTGTTTTAAACCCCATACACCTTCACCAGAATCATTTAAATAATTCCAGCCCTGGAATTGCCTATATCTACTAAACTAAAGTTAAAAGATAGCCGTTAGCAATTGAAAACTAAGGCTTCATGACGTCACAAGGTGGAACAAAGCATTTTGAGCTTTGGAGATGTAGACAGACTAAAGGGTTACTCAAACACGTGTAAATGAAACAAAACACAACTCTGGGTATGTTTTTGGTGAGGTAACAGCATTATAACATAGCTCACAAGAGTCAATTTTGCATAATAAAGGCCACTTAAAGCTCTTAATGGCCTTGCTCCTC